CAAGGTGGTGTAAGACCGACCTCCGGGTCGAAGGTATGCGAGAGGTCGCGCCCCGAGCCCCTCTCGTACATCCGTTGTCTAATCGCTGGCCAAACAGTTTGCACAACTCGTTGGTCCTAGACCGACAGTGTGCGGGTCAGCCCCGCCTTACCCAGCAGGGTCAAGGTTGACCTTATCGACTTTCCGCCCCTCATGGCATAGGTGGGGAGCCAGATCCCCGATTAGTTCTCCAAGTATTCTTGAATGAAAAATGACTAAGTAAATTGAAAGAATAAATGATGCATACATACAAGCTCATGCGAAAAATCAATCACAGAGAACAAGTCCAAGATCATCATTGCCCGGTTCTCCTCATCACAGGTAGTCTGCATACCATGTAAGCCAATTGCAGCCCTCCTTGGTCTGCAGCTAAGCTCGGATATACTCCGGACACCGATCTTCAATCCTGGAAGTGACAAGCTCCGGAAACTGTAATGGGCCTTGAACAAAGCAACTGCCTCATCTCCTACATCATCGAAGCTCAGACACGCTCCAGATGCCGGGCCTCGAACCTAAAGCTTGCAAACTCCAAGATCACTAGAAATGCTTTAACACCGCAACTACCTTATGATCTGCATCCCGGGACAACGCATTCAACTGGTCTTACTTTGATTTAGGTTCGAATGGAACTTTCATATCCTTGGTCGCCGCCACGCTCGGGCATGCTTCGATCGTTGGCTCCGTGGGAAGCTGTGTAGCTTCATGGCATCCTCAGTTTTCTCCGTCCACTCCTGAGCCTAGACTACACAGCGCTGGTTCAGGCTCTTCTTTAACGGGCTTCAAAATTCAAACTAAGTGCATGGTCATGACGAGGCCTATAATCACCACCTCACCATCCATACCAAGTCACGCACGCTCATCTCAGCCCAAGTTCGTGCAGGGCTATCTCCAAGTCAAGTTCGTTTAAGGCTATCTTTCGGTCGAGGTTGCACGTGCATGACAGTGCATGAATTACGTATGGGCTTATTGGCGGGCGAGAGCCAACCTAAGCTCCGAGCTCGGGTCTCTCACTCCTAAGGATGAATCATGGTGGACTACTCATTGCATCCTCCTGGGAACGTCAGACGAGCATTGCTCACAAGTGAAGACCGGTCTTTGCCATCCCCTCAGCAGATGGCGACCGTTGCAACTGCACGCAGTGGCCGGAGAGCTCACCCTTTTGCTTGGTTTTAAACAACACCTCGGGCTGCTAATTGGACAAACAAGACCCCGGGCTGCTAATCGGAAGAACAAGACCCCGGGCTGCTACCGATACAGAGGAAACCCTATCCTTTTGCAAGAAATGAGGATCAATGTGGACAGTATTGCATTCGGCCTTTCAAGATCATAGCTCGGTTGTCCATCGTCAGCGGACAGCTGGGTGGCCATCATCTCCCGAGCATACCCAGTTTGCCAACATCGGCGAACATCTATGTGACTAGCCTCTCCTGAGCATACCTCGGATCTCCATCCTCGGCATACAACTGCGATTAGCCTTCTCCCAAGCATACCTCGGCTCGACCGACACCACTGGCAAACAACCGCACGACTGATCTTTTCAGAACATATCTCGACTTACCAGTAAAGCAGGCACTTAATCAAGAACCGAAGGGATTGACCTTCCTTTGCTTTATTTTAAGGTTCTGGTGTACTCTTTTTCCTTCACTGGAATTTTTTCCCATCAGGTTTTTTCCTAGTAAGGTTTTAATGAGGCACACCCTTATCATGAACAAAGGAAGAGGTCTCCTGGTCGGAGCAAAGAAGAGTCCATCCTTTCACAAGCAATTGGATCAAATTCAAGGCTCGATAATGACCGGTCGGCCGGACAAAAAACCGGACCAATTCCAAAACAGCTTAACTAGCTACTCCCTTTTAGCCGAGTCTACTACTCGACTAAGGGAGTGGGGGACTCGTGTTGGGATAATGGGCCGGGTCCAAGACTATTGGCCCGTTACGCCCAAGCTTTGGCCCGACCAAGCTCAGAACACAGCCCGACTAGCGAATATTGGTCCGGGATTATTTAATTACTTATCGGGCTGGCTGGCCCATTAGCGTCAGTGTTAGTTGATAAATCGGGCCAAGCCCATGTAACACTTAATTGGTGGGCTATTGTGTATGCCTATAAATAGGCCACCAACCCCTTGTATTCGGGAAGCTATTCTCACTATACTGAAATACTGCCAAATTCTCTACCCGGGTTATTTTCTACCAACATATCCCTTCCTCCCATAAAACATGATCACGTTTGACCAATTGACCGACATAGAAAATTACTACCTCCATCCCGAATTGATCGCAAATTTGACTTTTCTTAGTCAAACAGTTTCATTTTTATCTCTTAATTAGAATGTTAATTTTTAATTATATTCTAATTTGGACTTTTCCACTTTAAACATATTTTAACGTAGTTTCTGAATACGTAAATTTTAATTATTAAAAAAAGAATTAATTAATGATACGGAGGATTGACTTTTATTATAGGTTGATAAAAAAATGTTGAATTTACAAAACAATTTGAGACAAAGGGAGTATAAAATATAAATTTTCCGATTGAAATTTGTATTGAAAAGAGAGAACTAAGAGAGCCCACTCAATTATTTTTTAATTAAAAGGGACAATAGTAAAGTTAATGGGACTACGAAAAACAAAGTTGGCAAAACTTTAAAATAAAGGAGTATGTGGTATAGAGTAAAAGTTAATCTTTATCTATACTTTGTACTTTGGCCGAAAACAACTTTCAAATTGTAGACCGCGATTCGTGAATAATTTGTCCCCCGCCATTACATATTGCTTTGGGAAAAGGGGCAAATAAGCCCTCGAACTAATAAAAAAAGTGCATATAAGCCCTTTTGTAGGAGGTTCTGTCCGATCATCGTCATTTGGGGAGGTTCTCGGTGGAATTTTTTGATGAATTTTTTTGAGCATCTTCTTCATTAAGTCTAGTTTATCCATACCAAATTTCAGCTAAAAATTCAACCGGGAAGGCACTCAAATGACTTTCGGAACTACACTGCGTTGTTTAACTGCGCAGTTATCTTCAAAAATTCATTTGACTATCTTCCCGATTGATTTTTTAGTTGAAATTCGGTATGACTAAACTAGACTTATTGAATAAGATGCCCAAAAAATTTCATCAAATAATTCCACCGGGAACCTCCCCAAATGATGATAGACAAACGAAACCTCCTACAAAAGGGCTTATACGCCCAAGCCCGACTCGTGTTGGGATAATGGGCCGGGTCCAAGACTATAACGACATATATAGGGATTATGTTCAGTTCATTCCAAAATTAATGCTCATGCAACCCAGCCCAAGCCTACCCGTTTTGTAATTCTGTTTGGTTATTAATTTAATGTTTTAGTAGATAATGAAATACTCCGTAGTGTTTATTAATTATATATTTATAATGATTATAGATAGAATTAGAGAATGATTTATTTATTACACAACTGGAAATTAGAGAATGATTTATTTATTGTTTGGACAACTAAAAAAAAATAAAAATCTCATTTCAATTTTAAAATTGGGGATACTATTAATTTTATGTACAACGATAGTTTTTACTTTTTAGATTTCCGTCACCGAGATTTTTGGTGCCTAAAAGCGCCATGCGCATGTATATATAGAAGTATTTTAATAATCATAACAATAAATACTCGAATCTTTATTAATCATTAATAAATTTTAAAATCACACTAAAAACGTTCAAATTTTAATATATACAATAGTATAATTTATTCCTATGATTTACTCCCTCCGCCCCAGAAAATTGTTCCCGGTTTCCTTTTTGGACCGTCCCAAAAAATTGTTCCACTTACTATATTAGGAAAGTTTTTACACCCAAAAAACCTAGTTTGCCCTCTTAAACATTTACCCTCCCCCACCAACCTACTCGGTTTACACCGCATCTTCTATCCTCACGCCCTATCTCTCTATCATCTTTCTTCATTACCACTTCCCCTCCTTCCTTCGAAGCTTCATCATTCCGCCGATACCACTTCCTCCCTCTCTTACAGTTTTCCGGCCATTTTCTCTCCTCTCCTTCCACTTAGGGGTGGACTGAACCGGGCCGGTTCGGGCCTCGGGCCTGGGCCCGGCCGGGCCTCGGTTCAGTATATATAGGCCCGAGCCCGAACCGGGGGTGGCCGGTTCCGGGCCGGTTCCGGGCCAGACCGGGCCGGTTCCGGGCCGGGCCACCCGCCCTATTAATTTTTTTTTTTTGGCTTCTTTATTTAATGCCCTACCCCTCTTTCTCAACCCCAAACCACCCCAAACCATCTCAAATGGACCAAAATACCTAATCTAACCCAAAACATAAAAAATTTTCAAAAAAAAAAAAAAAAAATTAATTCCGGCCCGGACCGGGCCCGAACCGGCCGGGCCGGTTCACCATATGGAAGGCCCGGGCCCGGAACCGGGAACCACCGGGCCGGTTCGACCCGAACCGCCGGTGGACCGGGCCACCGGGCCGGGCCGGTTGCTACAGTGGCCGGGCCGGGCCGGTTCCGGGTCGGGCCGCCCGGCCCGAGTCCAGGCCTACTTCCACTCTTGAGTTCGTTGAACTCTATTTCCTTCTCTGATTTTAAATCATGTCTAACCCTAGCTTATCTGTTGATCTAACCGTCTGTCTTGATTCCAAATTCCTAAATCCGACTACCATTGAAGATCTGCCTGCAACGAATGCATGCATGGACGATCTGATGGTTCCGAACAGTGAACAGGACTGTCAATATACTACCCTGGTCAAGGCCAGATGGAGGTTATGGTTCCAGACAGCGTTGTAGAGCCCAAACTGTGGGTTAATGAATAGCCAACCCGAATAAATTGGGTAGGCCCAAAAAATATAGCAAACCCAATAATGTGCAGCCCTACTTAGAGATAGGACTTCGTTTAGTTTGAATTACATAATCAAAGATGTCCAGAATTAGATCCCACATCAAACTAAGCAATACTGTATTACTGTATAGCCAATGGACAAAATCGGGTACTAACTCTTGCTTGTATCGATTTTTTTATGTGCGGGTATCAGAAAATAATAGTTAAACACTAGTAATGTGCGGAAACAGTGACAAAAGAACAAGTCCTAAAACAAGGAGTTACTTAATTAACACTTCAGAAACTTTAGAAGTGATTGAGTCTTATTTTCAGAACAAAAACAAAAATTGTAATTTAAACCAATCAGAAACTCGTAGTGATGAAAAAGAGAATGATTTTCTCTGGGATGTGATTAAAGTACACAGCTATGTACTCAGTAAAAGGAAATGTAAACAAAACAAGGGGGACAAGTTTCAATACTTTGTGTAAGACGGGTTCATCATTGCTTGGGCAACCCTGTTTCTGGGTTGAGGAGAGCACGACTCTCATCAGTAATCACAACAGGACCTCTTCCCGGTCTTGTGCAGATAAAGTAACTAACATCGCCCTTGTTCTTAGCTGGGGCAACACTGTCCTTAATTTCTGGAGGTGGAGGTAGAGCTTCTATGTCCTTCAAATCCTTAATTCCGGCATCCTCCAGTATTGAATTATCTCCTATGACATAGCTGGATAAAGAAAAACAGATAGTGAGAGCATGTGTGTATGAATGATTACGTAATGTATGTAAAGCTATACGCTCCCTATTAATCAAATATACCCAATTCCCACGCGTAACTGCTAGGGGTAGGAGAGAAAATGGCAAGGAAATTTTTTAGTATCGGTTTTATCTTGGGCAATGCAAAGGAAAATGAAATATTAATGGTTTTAAGTTTTCTACATATGTTAAGCATTAATGGTGTTTATATAATAGAAACAAAAAAAATTGCCAGAGCAAATATAAAAATAGTTTTGTTGAGTTTGAACCAATGTTTTGCCTCCCCCCACATATTTTTTTCCCTTCCAAATCTCCCCTATACTATCTTATCTTATTTTCTTTCCCCGACAATTTTTCTGATTCCATAATGAACCATTAAAAGATGCGGTGGAGATGTTGGAATTTAAAGCATACCTGCTTAGATCAGTATCAGACTGTGGAGGAAAGTAGAAGAGGAGCTTCTGAAGAAGAAGGGTAGCGGCCTTTCTATTGCGAGCAATCATGACAGCATTTGGCCCAGCATCAAAAGTGTAAGCAACCTGCAATATTCATAGTGTTACCAGCCTGCCTTCTTGAAATTGAAATCATTCGGGCTCATAATTAGAGCTCTTAAAGTGCATTAATAGTTAACACATAATATTGAGAGCTAATTGCAGAGGATTGAAGTTAACACACTAAACCATCAACCAAGCTTAACAAAGGGTATAATTGTGCTCTGATGGCTCCTAATATCTTTGCTTGTGCTAGAGGGCATGCAATCACTCAGGATTGGCCAAAGCATAGAACTATAGAAGCCATCCTTTCTAGAACCAATCGTTTACACTCTTTCTGTGAGTGGAAGAATGCCAAGGACATATTTGTCCAACTCTGTGATGCTCTTTGGCATTAAAAAACAAGCATACTAGGTCAACACACACACACACACAAAAACTTTTAATAAGATGGTAACCATTGAATAGCTGTTCCCTTTTAAGTAGCAACATATTCATATACATATGTGACTGTTTTCTGTATCCTGCATTCCTGCCTATGACTAACACCAAACAATACAAGAAATCCTTATCTAATACTCTCAGTGATATTTGAGATGCACATTACACAAGGATCAAACCTGTGGAGTTGCTTCTGAACGATTCCATTTTTCTACACAGCTGATTATCCTGAAATCATAAGATATCTACTCGTTTTAATTGTAATTCTTTTTTGTAAAAATGAATGTAAATGATACGGACCTGAGTATTAATAAATAAAACTGAATATTTTAAGCTGTAATAAGGAAGTGGACTGGCCCATTTGAAATAGAATAAATAAGGGTGAGGGTGAGTAGATGGATAGGCAGAAATTGGGACTGGGACTTGGGAGTGTTGAGACTACTCGAAGTGTCTCTATTGTATCTTCTCTTTTCAGTTTTCGTCAATTTTAATACATCAATTTACCGTCATATTCCCGAGTACCTATCATTGGTATCAGAGCAGTGACGATCCATCTACCTGTCAAAGACCTTCAAGCGATCCAGGATGGAGAAACGACTGGATAAGATCGAGCGCGACCTAGCGGAGGTGTGTACGGCGGTGGACAAGCTGCGCGACTTGCGCACATCGATAGAAGAGACTCGCAACTTATTCTTTCAGAAATTTCGTCGGAAAACCAGAGGACGATCGACAACAAGTCGTCGACAAATTGAAGGCCACGGCACTTCGTCATCCCTAGCTGATTCTGTTCGATCGCAGGTTTTGTCTCAGTCGCAGGCAACTTCTCCTAAATCGTCAGCTTCACGGCAAGAGGAAGTCTCCAGTTCACAGTCAAGAACGGCTATTCCTAGTTCACCATCGCAAACAGTTTCTCCTTGTTCGGAGGTTCCTTCTAAGTCGCGAGCAGTTTCTTCCCCTTCGTCTACTTCACAGAGAACAATATCTTTCCGTTCTCAGACTCTATCGCAAGCGGATTCTCACACGTCGCAAGCTGCACCTTTCCCCTTGGAGTCAGTTAATAAGCTGCAACAGCCATCTGAAGGTATCATCTCTCTGCGATCCAGAGAAATTGAAGAAAAGGAAATGAGCGTTCAGAATGTTCCTAAAAGTGTTGATGATGCATCTGGTGAAGTTCAATTTCGAATTGCCACTGATGTTCAATTTCAGATTGAAACTTCCATGCCTTATCCTGGCGATATTGGAGTGTATCATATGGTAGGAGCGTTGCTGCTGGCTGCTGATAGGTCAGTCTCTGAAAAGAGACTGAACCAATGTCATACCTACTCTCTATTGAGGTTTCAGACCAGCCCAACCAAGGAGATGCTTGAATCCTTGCTCCCAATTGCTAGCGTCCTGAACAGAGGAACAGGTGCTTGGGTACCACCATTGTCTGGGATCTTTAAAGCCACAGCTCGTGAACACATAATAGTTGGCTCTTGGTTTGAACCTTCCAGATATGAGAAGGCAAAAGATGTAACTGCTTTGCAACATGATCTGCAATTGCTCCCTGGTGGTGATCTTACTGAAATTGGGGAAATAGGAGTCCATATGAGTGGAGGCCAGATGCAAAGACTATCCATGGCAAGAGTTGTTTATTCTAATTCTGAATTCTATATATTTAATGATCCTTTAAGTGCAATGGGTGCTGATGTGGGCTGTCAATTTGTTAGAGAAGGTTGCATAGGGATTTTGGTAGACCATGAGTTCAGCAACAACACATCTGTGTCCAACACATTGATTGTTTCAGAAGAGAGAACCTCGAAGGAGCCTCATGAAAGCAAGGAAACTTTTGTTGTTAAAAAGTGCTTGAAGGCTAATATAAAGAATGAAACTTCACTAGACTTGTCTTCTGCTGCAGAAACACCTGGAAAATTAGAGGATGAAGTACTAAAGATCCTAGTTCAGCAGTCAGCAAGGTACTGGGAAGGAAGGGGTTCGAGAATGAAGCTCAACAACATGGCTATTTTCTTACTCCCCACCTTGAGGACAAGGTGGTTATCAAAGGGGGAAGTGATGATACGGACCTGAGTATTAATAAATAAAACTGAATATTTTAAGCTGTAATAAGGAAGTGGGCTGGCCCATTTGAAATAGAATAAATAAGGGTGAGGGGTGAGTAGATGGATAGGCAGAAATTGGGACTGGGACTTGGGAGTGTTGAGACTACTCGAAGTGTCTCTATTGTATCTTCTCTTTTCAGTTTTCGTCAATTTTAATACATCAATTTACCGTCATATTCCCGAGTACCTATCAGTAAATCTGTTACCTAACACTACTGAAGTTCTTACCTGGGATCAATTATCTCATGTAATCCCTCGTAAGTTATAAAATACAAGGGAAGATAAAAACTTGGGACTGTTGGGAGAACTGTCAAATAGACCCTTATAAAACGGCAATAAAGCCCTCGTACTAGAAAAACACCCAATTAAATCCCCAAAGTTGTAAAAAAAACTCAAATCAGCTGCCACGTGAGACTATTTAATACTACCTCCGTCCCAAAATACTTGGCCAAATCTTAAAATTTGGACCATGGTTTTGATTAGTATAACATTATGGATGTTATAAAATTTTATACTTTTATGAAAATACTTTCAACAAAGAGCATTTACATATCATTTTTATATTATAAATAATTTCTGATAATTATATATAGTTGGTCAAAGTTTTAAATATGGCTAAGTACTTTGGGACGGAGTTAGTACTTCGTAATATTTGTACTCTATATTATATTTTTAATAAATTTTGTACCATACCTATCTCATACAAAGTAAATTTTCTCTCTCTTCTCATTTCATTGTCGGATTTCGTCTTTCTTCCTCTCCAATTTCATTCCATATCTTATTTCTTCCACTCAAAGTATTTTTCTCCCTTTAATTTTTGCGTCCTTCTGTTCTTCTTCTATTTTTCTTCTATACTTTTTTTTTATTACTCCAGGGAAGTCTGTGGGGGAGGGGGGCTGGGGGCCTGGAGTAATTAGGGTTGAAACACACTCCACGGTAACCTCACAACCAGCTGGGCTGGAATGCTTGGTTTAGTTGGTTATTTTTTCTTCTATACAAAAATTAACATACCAGATTTTTTAGATCTAGCAGAAATTAGCTCCAAATTAAACTTGCACTTCAATAGCATATATGTTATGAAAAAAATTATTGGGTCCAATTAACAATCTCAATTTTCAGATCCAGTCTATATTTAATCATCTTCACTATTATCAGAAGTAAACAGGAATATTGAACAGAAAAGAAAAATTGAAAATCAGGGACAAAGAAATAGAGGGAAATCGATGTAAGTGGGATATAAAATAGTAAGAAAGAAAGATCTTTATAACAAAAGAATTTAATATGTAGATTTTTGTTTCACCGAAATTAGCTGGGTGCTTCATATGAATTTACAATGAAAAACTCTGGAATTTGCTTTTGCATGAAAACAACAACCTTCGAGGATAAATATTACTCCGTAGATTAAGAAGAAAGTTTTGATTTACAGATGGATGACATTACGGGGGGGCAAAGAACAAAGGATTGTGAGGAAGGTGGAGATAGTAAAGAGGGGTAAAAGTAAAAGAAAGAGAAAGGAAAAGGTTTAAAATGACGACAGGCCACGTGAGCAAGATAACTGGGATACCGGTTAGTTACCGGCTAAAATGACAATTTGGTTTATTATAATTAGTTCAAGGGTCTAATTGGGTGATATTTAAGTACAAGAACTTAATTGAGATTTTTTATATTGTAAGAGGGCTTATTTGATAGTTTTCCCTAAAAACTTACCTATGAGATGTATCATTCATGTAGAATATAGGAGGAGATGTGTCCAGGCAAACTGCATGAAACTGGTTGCTGTCTGTGCATGTTAGGTGAGCAAACATTGCAAAATCGCGATTTTTAATTGCTTCCTCCATTTGAAGTACTCTTTTTGGAACTATCTCCTGTAAAAATAATCAAAGAAAAGTGGGATCTAATTATATTCAATACTAATAACCAAACTGTTCAAACATAGAGCTCATTTATATGTGTTTTTATAAACATTGATTTCAGGAAAAGCTTTGCTAATAGCAGTTTTACTGGATGCAGTATTTTGCTTTTGATTGGAATCCTCAAAAACAAATTATTCTTTCAAAAGCGTATTTGTGAAAGAAGCGTCAATCAAGTGCTTCTTTCAAAAGCGCTTGGTGTTTTTAACTTTTTAGAAACAGTTTTAAAATTGCCACAAGAACATTCCTTTTCACATGTAAAAGGGTTGCAAGCTTAACCCCACTAAACAAGCACTTTAACCCTTTCTCAAAGCAAAGCGAGACAAGCACTGACTAGACAACATAATGGATGACAAAATGTGGTGAACAGTTTCAACAACTTGAAATTGACTTAAGTTCGAAATTGAATTTGGAACAATTAAGAGAACAATTGAATACCTTCGCCCTGTGCTGTATAAGTGGACTGGTTTCCACCGTGTCACGCATTCCGCTGGTGCTACTTGTTTCCTTCTGCCTTGAACTTACCTAAACCGTAAGTAGTCATTGGGAAGAATTTAATAATGTGTTTGGTATAACATTTAATATAAGTAAGGCTGCTATTTTTTACTCAAAAAGAATTTAACCTTGACAAAATGACTGTTAGAATCGTTTAAAAAGTACTAATAAATAAGGGAAAGCACTGTTATCTCTATTCCCAAAAGCTTACATTTGATGCTTTTGGGGGCTAGAGGTAAAATTGTTCTTTTATAGATTGTAACGGGTCAGTAATGATATGGAACTTCTTTGGTTGGATGAGATTGTAGTTTTGGAGAGAGTGAAGTGGAGGGAGAATATACATGTGGAGGATTAATCTCATTTTATCTTTTTTATCTTTCTTATCTTCTTTATCCTTTTATCTTTTTATCGTTATCTTATCTTTATCTCTATCTTATATTTTTTTTTATCTTTTTAGCTCCGATTTCACATGTCAAACCATGTTAGCGGTCCCAAACTCTTGGGACTAGGGCTTGGATGTTGTTGTTGTATAGATTATAATTATAATTAGTTTTCATTATTAAAAACGAGACACCATGGAGTCAACATACCACTGCAATTATGATAACCAGTTCGTCCCAATGCTTCTCATCTACAAGTTGAACAGCAAGACTATCGCTTCCATTTTCATCCTTCAATGCATTCATAGTGAAGTATTGTGAGAAATGAATAGGTCAATGAACGAAAAAAGAAGATGATATAAAAACAACCGAACTTACTTTTCCCATGACCCATTTTACAAATCCACCAAATAGACTGCGGCAAGCACTTCCTGAACCTTGCCTGTATGAAATTATCAGGTTGCTTATCTGCTTGCATAGTTACATATCTGATCTCATTGAAAAAAATAGCAGACACACACGCAGACATATGCATCAAGAAGAAGGATTACCTTGCTATAGCAGAAAGTTGACTATTATTTTCTTTCACATTCATCAGCTTTCCAAGGGAAAAAACTGCATTATGAGACAAAATTATGACAAATAGATTTAGATAACTACAAATCATACAACAAACATACCACAATAATAAGCAGTTACATAAGCAGTAAAGTATGATCATGGTGAAACCACACAATGTCCGTTGTCAAAGAAAAATGTTAAGATAATCAACCCCTCTGCACCTATGCACAACATGTGTTAGTGTGTCGGTTGGGGGTCCCTTTAGACATTTTTAAGCAAGTTTACGGGGAATCCGCCATTCCAATATTGATATCAAGAAAAATCCATCATGGTTGGCATGGATGTCATCATCATCATCATTACCCCAGTGCCGCAAAGGCTCCCACCTATGGTGGGGTATGAGGAAATAATGCACAAAGATGCAGCTTTTAGAACTATCTATTAAGAAGCAGTCCTATTCCAACTTAGTATGTTCAAACAGATCCATACATTCTCAAAAACACACTATGCATAAATGTATCACGTACAGGATGCTAACAAAAGTTAATGCTAGCATTTCATGTCTTCATTTAAAAAAACATGATAAATAAAAACCTAAATTGTTAATTCCTTTAAGAAAATCATGATTCTTTTACAAGTTTCGTTTGTGATTCTTGTGTTTACCATATCAAATATAACTCCACAATAAAATAAGGAGAGCCAGTCTCGCATGAAGAAAGAAAGCAGAAAATACCAAGACAGGCAAAACCAGCAGCGGAAGAAGCCAAGCCCGCAGCAGTAGGAAAGTTATTATACGAAGCTATATGCAGATGCAACTTCTCCCAATCCTTTTTTGAAATCTTAATACCCTTCTCCTTATCCTCAAAATCACAAGCTCGGGCTCTAATTTCCCTCAGACAATTTTGGTATCTTCCTCCAGAAAGTGGTATTTCCTAAACATTACAAGAAAACCATAAGTTCATTTAATATGTTTGTTTTACCCACCATACTTTTACTAATCCAAACGGGACTCAAAATATCAAATGATCAAGTCCCATTTCGTGACTAGTGTAATAGACATAATCATCCAAGTTTTTTTAGCTCAACATAAAACCTTGCAAGATATTTCATATCCAAAATCATACACAGATGCACACTAATTATGAAGGCTGGCTATAATCCTAACGAACAAAAGTTAGGGAAACTCATCCCAGAAGCGGGTGGAGAAGGGACGCCGAAGCAGATTAATCTTCGAGGACACACAGGATTGGGTTATGAGTATAAGTTTCATGTACTTCCTTTCCACATATAATAATATTAAATGAGCCAAAAACCAGTTTGAAACCTCATCACACACATCATCCGTATTCCTCAACAAAAGTACTTTTGTCGGAGCTTGCTACACCAAACCCACAGAAAAGACCATTGGATGAAGGCAAATCACTCAAAGGCATCATCATCATCAGGGAGTGGCAGTGCCGCAGCAGCGTTAAGTTCTTCCTCTTGCCTTTTTTGAGACTTCATATCAATCTGGACTTCCGGAGGAGCAAGGGCAACAGCTTCAACAAATTGCAGGTTTGGTTCCCCAGCAAGTTTCCTAGCAAGGTAGAGGAAAGGCTTCTCAAAGTTATAACTACTCTTTGCAGAGATTTCATAGTACTGCAAATTCTTCTTCCTGTGGAATGTAACGGCTTTGCCTTCGCTTGCCTGTTCTTGACATCAACCTTGTTACCACAGAAGACAATTGGAATATTCTCACACACCCGGCATAGATCACGGTGCCACGTAGGCACATTCTTGTATGTTAATCTGGCAGTAACATCAAACATTATAATAGCACATTGTCCATGGATGTAATAACCATCCCTGATCCCTCCAAACTTTTCCTGACCTGCAGTATCCCAGCAGTAAAACCGAATTTTCCCAAGCTTTGTGGAGAAGTCCAACAGATGAACCTCCACACCAATCGTGGGTTCATACTTATTCTCAAATTCACCAGTAAGGTGCCTCTTGACAAAAGTTGTTTTCCCGGTACCACCATCCGACAATTACAAGCTTAAAGCTCGGGTAATCAACTGTCTGCTGATTTGGAAGTGCCATGGCGTCGCGGCTTGGTATAGAAGACAAGGTTGTGATCAGGAGGAAAAAGTGAATGTGGAGTGATAATTCTCACATAATCATCCAAGTAATCCAACTTATCCAACCACACTAAATCCCCAATTTGAGCATATCACCCTCACTCAGAATGAGTATGGGAAATGACGAAAGCAAATAGGACGAAATGGCTACGATCTTAGCTCATTGTAGCACTTCTATGCAAACGCAAAACTCGATTTTGAATATTTATTCAATTAAATTAATGGACACTATGAAATTCGGGATTAAGGTGTGTTAATGACTGCAAATTTGAGTTAATTTTTCCGGTTTCACCAGCTCCCTGTTATACCTCTCGATTATTAATAGATCAGGAATCCAAATTTGAGAATGAGATGGTTGTACCTTCCCATTAAGCCACATGCGATCTTGGTGGAAGGAAGGGCTGACGGCGACGGTGGTGGTAGTGCAGAGGTGGGCGGGATCGAGGGTGACGCTGATGCTGTCGTTGATGGGAAGGATGAGGTTTTCATCCCTCTTCCCCCAGTACTTTATGACGGCTATGTTCGTCGGCGTCTGCGCTGTCACCATCAACACCCATCTCTTCTCCTCAGCCATGGATTAGGATGAGTATAGAGTCTATAGACACAGGCAGAAAATATATCTCTTCTCCTCACAACGCCTGCCGCGGTGGTGATATCGTCGATGCCTTTGTCGCTGGCTCTTGGATTTGTCGCTGGATGCCTGCAGTCCTTTACTGAAGCTTATTCTGTTTTTTGGATCTGAGCTGCCATTCTACTTATACTATTTTTTCATTTTTGGGGCCTTACAGAGAGGATCGTGCGCCCGCGTGTATATACGAGAAAATGGTGTTCAAGGGATGACGGCTGTCAGCAGTTGTTGGGACTCCATTGTTGAACGATACAGAGAATTTGGTAGTTCAGTTTGATTTTCCTGTTGCGGGGTCCACTGATGCTCCGGCCCTGCATATAAATAAGAAAAAGAACAAACATACCCCTCTAGTACGGGTGTTGGAAGAGATATCCCCTGTTCTTTTTTTTTCGGAACAAATATATTCTCCTGAACTTTTAAAAAGGTACAAAAATATCCCTCATGTTTTTATAAGGGAAAATTTAATCCTTATTGACTTTAAATTAAAACACCAACTTAAAATAAATTAAAAAAACACCAAATATAAATTATAAATTCGAAATTAAAAAACAAAAAATTTTAAAAATGTAATGGTGTCCAATTCTTCCTTTTATAGTTTTTATCACAAGTAATATTGTTTAAGTATATATCATTTCAAAATTTTACTATATGTTTAAGATTCTTTCGAAAAGGTTCTAACATATGTTTCGCAATGTAAAGAAAAATTGTTTTTTTTTGCATTCTTTGCACTATAAAATTACATATTTTGAAATAATATTTTATACTAAAAATCTTAAATTGTGATATAAAAACAATAAAGGGAGAATTGGACACAATTACATTTTTAAAATGTTTTATTTTTTAATTTCGGTTTTTTAAATTATTTTTGGTCTTTTTTGAAATTTATTTTATTAATGTAAAGTCAATAAGGATTAATTTGCTCCTTTATAAAAACATGAGGGATATTTTTTCACCTTTTAAAAAGTTCAGGGGTATATTTGTTCCGAAAAATGGAACAAGGGTATATTTGTTCCTCCATCTATACTACAGGGGTATATATGTACCTTTTCCCTATAAATAACGAGCACTGCGTGAGATTTTTTTTTTGCGTTTGGGGGAGGGGGCTGGCGGAGCCTGGAGTAATCTAAGCTGAAACTCACTTCATTGAGTTTCGAACCCGAGACTTTCCGTAAGGGAGAGTGAGTCGGAGATTTTGTATTTGTATTGTTTAATTTTTTCGAATACGAATTCGAATTCAAATATGAAATGAATAATAATTTCGATTTATATTTGTATTTGTTTAACAATACGAATAGTTAACGAATCATATACGAATATCGAATCGTTTTGAGCATAAGTTAAATATTAGTCAAATACTCAAATATTACTTTAAAATTTTGAATTAATTCCACTTTTGGTCCTACGAGTTTTCTGTCAATTCCACCTTTAGTCTACGTCTTTCACTTTAGCCACTTTTGGTACTTGACTAATGTTTTTCAACCGTTTGTGGTCCTTTTTCGGCGATTTTAATCATCGGAAACAATGCCGGAAGGACCATATATGTGTGAAAACACAATAGTCATGTACCAAAAGTGGACAAAGTGAAAGATGTGGACTAATGTGGAAACCACCTAAAACTCGTACGTAGGACCAAAAGTGGAATTTATTCTAAAATTTTCTATGCTCTGTTGTAAATGCATGCTATGACTTAATATGTGTTTTTAGAATTTAAATTTAATCGATCAATGCATTTTTAGATGGTGCACAATATACTAAAGTGATTTAATTTTATGATTAATAAAATATAAATCTATTTCAAACTTTTTGAAATAAACACTAACACACACATTAGAAATTATATTTATTATGTGTGAATGTCCCTCGGCATCTACCCCACTGATTTTGGTGGTTTGCCTTCCGGGGTAAAAAAATATTATGTGTGAAATAAATTGATAATTGTATATATCAGAGTCAAACAACTCTAATTTTATTCTTCAAATCGAATACATAATTATTTATATTGTATTTGAAAGATATTTGAACCAAAAAATTGATTTGTATTCGTATTTATATTCTGGTTTATTACAAATAATGGGCTTAGAATCTGTATGCAAAAATGTATACATGGGCTACACTTTGAGTGTATTGCTATCTCTAAAAGTTATTATAGTGTTATTACTATTATTATTAATATTGATATTAATATTACCATTATTATTAATCGAATATATTTGATTAATATTCGAATCGAATACATTGGTATTCTTATTTGTATTTGATAACAACTCGAATCAAATTTAATATTCTTATTTGTATTTGTATTTGAATTTTCCGAATTCGAATCGTGTTATACGAATTCGAATCGCGAATCGGATACAAATTATTTGATTCATTTATACACGCAAGTCTCAGGCACGCCAAAAAAAAATACGGAGCAAGATAATAAAAAGTACTCCCGTGCGTAGTAAAGATAGGAGTAGTGCTCCGTGAGATCTCACAAAATTCAGGAACATCCTAAGCTAAAGTGCTAAATATAAAGGGGGTGTCCACAACATGGATTCTAGTGGATTTTAATGGAATTGAGAATCCCATCAAAATCCGGGTGTCCCCAACTTGGATTTTATAAACTCCTTAAAAATCTGGGTATCTCCAATTATTCCATGGATTTCTTTCATTTGGATTTGAATGGATTTTAATGGAATTGAAATGGGAAAATAACTTCGATTCATTCCACATATTCTCTCGCCCCCACTCCTCGGATTTTGAAGGATTGTTGCCCTGCCTCTTCGTACACCTCTCCCAAACTCTTCTTCCCCATCCTGTCTGCCAAACGATACATGTCCATCTTGTCTACTGTTGTTCTCCTTGAGCGACTTGAGAGTTTTGGTTGTCATCTCTGGTTGCTGGATCTTCGCAGCTCTGGTCGCCATCTTTGATTTGTCATAGAGCGCCATGGTTGCCCTGCTGGTTCATTCCGTGTTCTATGTTGGCTGGTCGTAGGTCCCTGCTTTTCAGTCCAGTATCTCTACGAGCTCCATCGGTGTCTTCCTCTTTAGTGGAAGTCTGGTGGTGATCTGCCTGATGTGGGAAGCCTGCACCTTGGTGAGCCCAGAACATTGTTACCAGTTTGGTGGCGAAGATGGGGAGAGAAAATTTTACAACATTCCATTATAATCCATCAAATTCTATTCTCTTAAAATCCATGGAATTCCATTAAAATCTATGGATTCTTAAAATTCTATTAAAATCCATAATCCTTACAAATCTTTTAAAATCTAAGTTGGGGACACCCCATAAATGTATAGCAACTGTAGAACCAATTCAGATAGAGATAAATCTGGAGAATTGATGGCAGCGGGTCTGGACCCAATCGGACCAAGAGAAGCACTAGACGGCAGAAGACTAATACCCGGAGCACCAGCAAACGTTGGGCCTGAAAAGCTGGAGCCGAAGTTGTCAACATACAGACCCGAAGAACCCCCACCGCTGGAGAAGAAGGGGGAGGGCTGTGGGCGAATTGCCGGAGAATATGGCTGCTGTGCGTGAACTGGTTGTCGGGTAGGAGACCAGTGGAACACCGGTGGTACCCAGACGCCATCGGAGGAAGACAGAGCATTGGTTAGCGGCTGAAAATTTGGGATTTCCGAAATCACAGGCGAGGTGAGGATGAAGGCCGAGAGAGAGAAGAAGGACCTGCGGAAACGTCATGGGTGGCCTCGACAGAGCCTGGAGCAATTGTCGCAGCAGTGGTTGTGGAAACCGGCGGACATGGACGCCGTACCTGCGGCGGAGAAGGCCTCTGCGGATGAAGAAATCGGAGAGGCAGAGGACGTCATATGGCCGGAAAAAAAATAGGGTAAGGAAAGAATGGCTCTTGATACCATGTGAGAATAATTACCAGGCGTAACCATGAAGGTAGCTCTGACAGATATATTTATAGAGAATAAATGTCATAATTACAAAGATAGTCCACAATAATAAATAATTATAAAACTACTCTATTAGATCACACGTGTTACTGCTACATTATTATTTTTTAAAATTATATGAATGGAACTTCATCCAAAAATAAAATAAAATTATATGTATGGAATTTCAACTTACAAATTACGGAGTTATTGCTTAAAATATTAAAAGTGCAAATACGTCTCATCCCGTTCTCGATCGATTCAGGATTGGTACAATAATATTGATTCAGTGTCACTAAGGTCCGGTCCGTCTCGTTCGATACTATGTTTTTTCATTTTTTTGCTCATCCATTCCATTGAACTTTGTCAATTTTAAATAGGTCGGGGTGTTTGGTTTATTCGATTCGGTTATGACCTAAAACCAAATACGGAACTAATGTAAAGTCTTGTTTAATTTTGCATTTCAAAACTTGAAACCATGGTTTGACACTTTGACTAGTTCAGTTTCAAATTAGCTGAGAAATAAAAAAAAAAGTAAAAATTATGTGATTGATTTTTATGCTAAGGAAAAAGAAATGAGAAGAACCACAAATAAGTTATTTTAATAATTACAAAGTGACAAAGTTTTTAGGACAATAAAAATAGAAAGTCCAATTAAAGTAACTAATTTGTTCTGTTCATTTTTCTTTTCTCTGCACAAACATTTGTCACACATTTTTTTTTATTTCTCACCTAACTTAAAGTAGGATTGGGTTCGAAAAATTGCAAATCAAATCAATATAAGTTCAACTGCAACCAAATTAAATTAAACTGCAAAAAAACCGTAATGGGATGCATAAAATGAATTGAACCAAATAAAACGAACTAATAAAAAAATGAATTTTTATTTCTTAATGCATATTATAAACATTAATCCTAAAATCATTGTTAGTCTTTGATTTTCTAGAAAAGAAAGTTGATATTTTGTATTCTATGTATTACGAATTTCTTACTTCATATTAGATGATAAATTATTATATTGTGATTTTGTTTGGTTTACTAAGTTTATTTACAATTCGTTGCTTACAAAATATGACTATATATTGATCTATTATTTTCTTATATGTATTTTATAGTTTGTTGCATGGCGGTGATGCGTTTTTGTTGCTTATTACTAATAAGTTTTGTTTTAATATAATCTAAATTTTATATTGACAAAATAAATAAAAATTCATCTCAAATTCTCAATTGAACCTCGAAGAATATAGATGAACTTTTTTCAAACTAATCACAAAAAAATGAATTAATGTATACAACATTCAACAACAAAACTTCTTTATATATCTTTTTATAGAAAATATGCTATCTAACTCTACATTTTGTTCCAAAACCTGCAAAAGCATGTGTTTTCCCACATATACTCATAGTTCAAGACATATTTATTACACATCTTTTAAATTTTATTTGTTCT